TCCTATTATTGTCAAGCCTTTTGCTGGAATGGCATGTTCTCTGCAGGAGCTGACCATTGGGACTGAAATGTAAGAACAAAAGCTCCCCACCTCCCACTCCCCCAAGTCCCACCAAGTGACCATCTTGGTGTGGAGAGAAGCAGGTGACTTCATCCCGTGACCCAGGAGGAGGAAAGAGCGCTTTGTCGGAAGTTCTGTGTCCCTCCAAAGCAAGAGTTACACAAAGGAAAGCACCCACTTAGACTCAGCTCGATAGTGTTCTGTGAAGGCAAGGCAGAACAGTGGCTTACTAAGTGGAACCTCTCCACTCAAGAAAGATTATCATATATGATGTGGAGGGACCTTTAGCTTCATCCCTGAATCCTATTGTAATATGCAGAAGGGAGGGCTGCTTTCTACCCAGAGCATCTCTTGAAGAAGGGTGTCGCAGAATGCTGAGGGTCCCCCTCCTTGGCTCAGATCTGACACACCTTAGCACTGCAATTAGAACCCTTGGCTCTGTCTGTTTTTACTCCATCATGAATGGAAGTTTGGGTGGAAACTCAGCCCATTCATTCATTTATTCACCAAATGCTGTTTCTGCTATGTGCTGGGGCCCAATCAAAGTACTGGGAATAGAGCAGTCACTGGCACAATCCCTACCTTCTACCCCCAGCCTCTGAGAATACAGGGAGTAGCCAAGGGGAACCATGTGATGCTTGATTCTCCTTGTGCTAGCTTCACCAGCCTGACCCAGCTCATCTTGATCCCCTGACAGACCATGCACATGTGTTTACACTTTAATTATTGACTAGAATCCAGTTGCCTTTTGGCAAAGGAATCAAGCATTCAAGAATATTCAGATCTTTTCTGTCAGGCTCTTCCCTTGAAAATGGGTATACTTGTAATGAGAATTCTCCTAGTCATTTTCTGAAGGGTTAGGATTCTTTCATTGTACCCCTGGAGGAGAGAGTGAGGTACAGAAGTATCCCAGCACTTGGCAGCTGGAGACATTGAAGATGAAATGCTATGAACTCTTAGTCCATCAGACGGCCCTAAAAACCCAAACCAAACCTGCTGCCGTCAAGTTGATTGTGACTCATTCAACCCTATAAAACTGAATAGAACTCCTCCCCCTAGGGTTTCCACAGCTGTAAATCTTCACAGAAGCAGACTGCCTCAACTTTCTCCCACAGAGTACCTGGTGGCTTAGAACCACCGACCTTTGGGTTACCAATTGGGTGTTTTAACTACCGTGCCACCAGGACTCCTTCAGATGGCCTTGGTGGCATAAAGTAAAAGGAGCAAGCTCCTGTCCCCTAACACCCTTCTTGGCTTCCATTATACGAGGTTGAGTTTTTCATCAACCAGGATGTTCCAGCCTGCTTGGAAACCTGACATCGTCCTTCTCTGTGCAAGTCCAAGCAGTCCCCAGCCAGGGAGACCAGGTGTTCTCTGACATCCCACACACATCAACACACGTGGAGAATTGCAAAAGAGAGGAGTGGGAGCCAAAGACTCTGGCTCTGGTGGTTCTGCAAGCTCCTGCCTCCCCTCCCAGAGACTTCCTACTCGGTGCTCTTGATCTTGACAAGAACCTGGCTCGGCCTAAGAAATCCTTCACTTTAATGTCATCCTTTTAGAAAGAAATACTTGTAATATTTAAAGATTCTGCTCAGCATAACCTATTAAATAAGAAACAGGGTGGGTCCCCTGAGGGCACTGTGATAGTGCCCAAGCATAGACTAATTCCGTTTAGCTACCTGACGGCTATCTTAGCTGCCAGTTGACTGTGTACTTTGGGGTGCTTCTCTCTGCTAAAGGTAGTACAGAGCCAGTCCTCATCCCCAGACTGCTCTCATCCCATCATCAGCCCAGTGCTTAGGAGAGGAAAGGGGAAACTAGCATTTCATAATCGCCATATCTGGGCCAAGGCACCTTGCTGTATCTTCTACGTGTTATCGAGTCAGCTCTGGCTCACGGCAGCCCCATGTGTGTCAGAGTAGAGCTCTGCTCCACAGGGTTTTCGGTGGCTGGCTTTTTTGGAAGTAAATTACCCAAGGCATTTCTGGGTGTGCTCAAACTTCCAACCTTAGAGTTAGCAGCTGAGCACGTTAACCATTTACACCACCCAGTGAGTTTTTGCTGTGCATACATTGCCTTGCTAATTCTCAGGACAACCCAAGGAAGTGAATGTTGTTAACCCTTCTTCCCTGCAAGCCCCCTAAAATTTACATGAGAGAGGACGAAGTAAAATTCTCTCCATTTTGCTAGAAAAGAAACATGCTCAGAAATTATAGCTAATGTTTTCTAAGACTCCATCCTAGCACCAGAGTTCATAGTTTTATCTTTCCATGTTCCTTCCTGTAAACCACATTCCTCCGTGGGACTCTTCAAGAAAAGGTCCCACCTGCAATTGCACCATAGGGCTTCCAGTCTTTTGGCTTGACTTTAATTCCTGTTGAACTGCAAATGCCCTGAGATGGGTAACAGTTTAAACTTTTATCAGGTGTATGTGTTTTAGTGTGAATACAGTTTTCATTTGTTCTTAAGAGCAGATATTTGTGGTCATAAGGAAGGTAACAATGAAAATATTGGATTCCCTCGATGGAGAAAGGTCAGGTCTGGTAAAAAGAGAAAAAGAGATTGTAGTCTAAAAGGCTGAGGTACCAATGATGACTTTTACTTCACAGGTTTGTGTAAGGTTCTAGATGCTGGGATTGTAAAGTCAAGAATAGACCATGTTTTTGTGCTTCTCAGTTTTATAGTTTAAGTGATTGAATGCACCTGAAGAATTCTCTCAAAAACAGGATCAAATTGACAACAGCAATTCCAAAGGTTCAACAGTTCGTGTATGGTAATAGAGGAGGCATAATTTGGAAAGGGAGGGTGGGAATGATTACGCAACTCAAAGAATGTAATCAAGTCACTAAATTGTATGTGTAGAAATTGTTGAATTGGCATTCTGGCGTGTTTATTTCCAACAACAACAGAAAGTAAATTATTAAAAGGGAAACAAAATGATGGAAGACAAGGTAATATCTCCATACAAGGGGGCCGTGTTGTCATGCCCGCGACCACCATCTGTAATCTCTAAGTAGGTCTTCTTTGTGATTCCATCACAGTACCCTGTCCCTGCCCCGCACAAGGTATGTGTTGTTTGTTTCCCCCACTAGGGACCATGTCTGTTTTGTTCACCAGTGTATCCCACCACCTGGCAGAAACTATTCCTTAAAATAGGTGCTCACTAAATGTTTGGGAATGGATGAGTACTATTTTTAAAAAGGCCCAAACTTGAAGTCTGCATCCTGGCCTTTCTCTGCTACAGCCAGTTATGTATCCTGACATAGAGCACTTGCCCTCCCTGGGTATCAGGCTCCTCGTTCCTAACATGAAATAACTGTAGTCATGTTCTATGATTCTATGACAATAAATACAAGCACAGCGTGGTGAGCCTGATGGGGTTTTAGAATAGCCTTTAATTGGGCACTTGTTGATGGAAGAGCAGTTGTGGTAAAGAGCAGTGTGTGGCTTTGAAGATTTTTGCAAATGTGTACTCTCTGACCCTCCACCTATAACATGGATTGAGTCAGGATTTAATTTCCTCACTGGCAGACACTTAAGAAGACTGCATTCTAAGCTTGTGACTTTTAATTCTGTCAGTAGAACCACAGGGAAATGCAGATTCTGGAGTTAGGTTTCTGTGTTCAAATCCTAGCTCCTCTACTCGCTCGATGCATGATCTTGGGCAGGCTGCTTAACGACTCCATCTGTGACCTCCTCAGTAAGAGAAGGTTAATAATTACCCGTAGCTCCTGAATGAGGTGTGGAAACGGGATTGATCCACATGGATGGAGTGTGTAGTGATCGCTCATTGAGTGCCAGTAGCCATTACTCCCCAGACTCTGTCATCTCAGAAGCCAACACGCCTGCCTTCATTCCACCTCTTTCACCAAGAGCTGGCACTGCCTCGTAGGCAGCTTAGTCCGCTTCTTTAGCAGATCATAGAACCTCTTGGAGACCATTCGGTTCACCTAGCACTCCTGTTCGAGACCATTGTCAAAGTCCCATTTTACGGATGGGGAAATTCCTGTACTGGAAGCACAAGCAACTTTCTTGACTTCGCCTCACATGTAGGTCCAGAATTGGATTGAGGATTTACACCCATCAATTTAATTGTTGCTGGCATTGGGGAAATTTGGTGACCAATCAAGAATTTAAAGAGCCTGGCCTGAGTTAATAAGGAGTCCAGTGGATTAAGAATTGGGCTACCAAACTTGGGGCTAGGGGTTCAAACTCACTAGCCGCTCTGGAATAAAGATGAGGCTGTCTACTCCCGTAAAGATATAAAGTCTCAGAAAGCCTAGGGAGTAATTGTACTCTGGCCTTTAGGGTTGCTATGAGTCGGAACCAACTAGATGGCAATGGCTTTGGTGTGAGTTAATAGTACCAGGATTGGTGCTTCCCAGATTGCAGAGTGTGTTTATATCATCTTTTTTGATCCACCCTGAAGCTCAAAAGCAGGTAGTATGATGAGGCAGCCCAGGGGAGGAGAGGGAGGTGAGCTGCACGGTCTCATAGCTGGTAAATGGCAGAGGCCCCACTGGACCCTAGCACTACTGACTCTGGGCCCCACCTGCCTTCCTCGGTGCCCACTGCCACCCTGGGTGAGTTTCAGTCACATTCTTAGTTCCTTCACTGCCACAAGAGAGGAGGGTGAGAAGAGGGCACACAGCTTTGTGCCTGGCTCCCTGGGGTGGAAGAACAGAGCCACAATCCGCTGGTACTTGCCTGGATGGCCCATCTGGGAGGGGAGTCGTTCTCCCTCAATCAAACACTTAATTAATTTGGGAACACAGGGATACTGTGTCATTAACGATCTGTTGGTTCTTGCATGAACTGGACGGTGTTGTTTTCCTCAGGCTTGGGGGCAGGGGTGTGGAGAGAGTTTCAGTAAGCTGGGAGATTTTTTCCACCATGTTGTCATTTCTCCAATGATTGAGTTATCTCTTTTGTTACAGGTGGAGAGAGACTTTGAAAGGGAGTATGGAAAACTCCAACAGTGAGTGTCAAGCCCTCAGAAGGATAAAGCAGGAGTCAGGGCAAGAGCCTACTGCTGGGTCTCACTCCCCACCCCGCCACATTTGCATATCACCTAGTCAGTGGGTGCTTAAGTGACCCATGAGGGCCCTGGGAGTGGAGGGCAACTCAATTCACTAAGCTGCCAGAAATTCACCTCTAGCAGATAGCTGTATGGGATTCATCGATTCTTAGCTGTTGGGTAACTTAGCTTCATAAAGAGCTTGTAGTGGCATTTCAGTCAGTGGGAAAAATCCCAATGGAAAAGAGCCCCTTCTTGTCCTCCCTGCCAAGTCTTCCAGAGTGTTTGTCAGGTGAAAGAAAGGGGGCCAGAACACGTTGGGAGTGCTGGGTGCTCATATCTGTACCCCTATGTTGCAGGCTGGAGGAGCAGACAAAGAGACTGCAGAAAGACATGAAGAAGAGCACGGATGCTGAGCTGGGTAGGTGGTGGGAGCCTGACAGGCACAGGTGGTCCATTCCTCCCTGAGTCATTCTAACGGCTAACGTTGAAGCAGTGGTACTCAGTAGATGCCCAGCCATTTCCCAGAGAAGTGGCCTCAGCTGACTCTCCATTATCAAATCACCGCTCACCACTTTGTACAGAAATTTTCCTGCCCTGCTCTCAATTTCGGTGCTGTGTGCAGAGTTCTGAGTTTTCAGTTCAAGGGATATGATGTTAGCAGACAGAAAACTCATAGCTGCAAATGCTACCACTCTTCCAGAATCTGGGCCACTAGCTCAGACTCTCCAGAGACAAAAGGCTAATGTTCTATCCCAGCAGAAATTCAGGTTCCTGGTCCAGTGCTGACAGGAGATTCTGTTTGTTTAATGAAAAGCAGGGGTTAAAGTGTAAGGTTTGAAATAACTCAGGATACTTCGATCATTACTAAGGGAACCGAAAGCTCTGGAGTTCAGTTCTGTGGTAAGTGGAGGTTAACAGGTGCTAGGAAGCAGCTTTCATGGTTTCGTGACTGTAGAATTCTTGTTTGAGACAAGAGGGAGTAGGACCAGGAGCGGAGAGACAGTGGAGACTTTGAAATAAGTCTACCAGGAGACCTTCTCCACAGGGCAGTTTCCCAGAGGACAGCTAGTATTGATGAGGAGCTTCTCTTTGGGATTCCCTACCCCAGAACACCAAGATCTTGACCAAAAGTTAATCAGTAACTTCAGCACTTCCTTTGTCACCTGAGACAACTTAAGCTCTTGGCCCCTCAACTTCTTCATGTGGAAAATAAGGGTAATAGCAGTACCCACCTATAGAATTGTGGAGATGAAATGGATTGATGAATGTAAAACACTTAGAACAAGGCCTACCACAGAGGAAGCACTCATGAGTGCCAATCACTGTCATCATCATTATTTAACAAGAGCAGCAAGGCTACCTGGACATGACCGTGTGCACCTCAGTGACTCCCTCCTTGGGGTATAGTGAGAGGACCTTGTCTCACATATTGCTTTATAATGTTCCCAGGGCTGCCCACTCACCTTCCTTCAACAGATACTGATTGAGAACCGACTTGTGCCAAGGACAAGTCTCAGTGCTAGGGATTCAACACTAAGCCAGGCAGGAGCTGGCATTGTAGAACAGAAGGCATACAATAGATGAAGGAATAACCAGGTATTGTAATGTCATGGAGTCGTTGGTAGTGCTATGATGAAAAATAGGAGGTAGAGAGTGACCGAATGCTGCTTTAGGTGAAGTGGCAGGGGACACCTCCCTGAGGAGCCATCATTAGCACATAGTCCCAGTGGAATGAGGGAAGAATCCACACAGGTAATGTCTGAAGGTAGAGTGCCTCAAGCAGAGAAGGCAGCAAGTGCAAAGGCCTGGAGGTGGAAGCAGACTTTTCCTCTAGAGAATGTCCACACTGACCCTAAGGTTCAAGAGAAGTTGTAATAGAGTTAAGAAACCGTCTTAAATTCATTAGGCCACACCACCTCATAATGATGCTTTCTGATGGGGTTGGTGAAAGAAACTCCGCTGATATTATCTCTTCTAAATTTGATTGGCAAGACAAGTGGAGATTTCCGTTTTATAAGAGAGGAAACATAATTTCTTTTGGCCCCTCTTCACCTTTCAGAGCAGAAAACCTGCCTCATTTCTCACTTAACTCCTTTGTCCCCTCTAAGCTAGTTGTTGTTGTTAAGTGCCGTTGAGTCATTTCTGACTCACAGCAACCCAGTTTCCACGGAGCTGCTGGCAGGTTTGAACCTCCAGCCTTGTGGTTAGCAGTCCACTGCCGACTCTACAGTGCCACACCAGGACTCTGTAAGCTAGAAGAATAATCCTTACTCCTGAGGACTGGCCTGTCTCAGTGCTGGCTTGGCTGTTTCCTGAGCAAAGCCAAAACGTGGGGGCAGTCTCACTGTTCCCAGGGCAATGGACACCTAAAGGTGGGGTTTGGTGACTTCCCTGATCCTCCTTGGTGTTATAATTTAAAAAGAACACTTTGATATGTCCCTAACAGAGGCATTGATTATATCTGACCCCTTTTAGCCTACATGTTAAGACCCAGCCACTTACTTATATAAACATGCGTCTTTTCTGCAAGGGGCACTTGGAAAAGCTGATAATGGAGGACAGAAAGATTTATTCCTTTCCCGGGAGCAGCCGCCAGCACTTTAGGGGCAAGAGTTGCCAGTGTGTGGAATGCTGCCTCCTTCGGTCTGTGCCACAGATTTGAGTGCTCGTGTTGATCCAGAGGACTTGGGCTGGTCTGAACATGACCTCACTCCTGCCCCTAGTGTGTCCAAACTGTTTACGTAGCCAGCGCAGTGTTTTCTGCATTTCATGTGCTCCTGTTTGTGTGTAGTTATTTCATTCCTGCACTCCTTGGACTGCTCCTCTCTTTACCATCCCCACTGCCCAGCCCTAGTAAGAGTGTCACTGCCACATACTGCTTCCTTTCCCTCCTGCGTCTCCAGGGAACTGCATTGTCAGGGACTCTGTGCAGTGAACGTTTGTTGTCTTTACAGTGAGTAGCTTTGGAATCAGTAGAACAGCAGGGATTCAGGCAGTGGAGACTGTGACCATGGAAAGCATAGTTTTCCAACAGCAAAATCAGAGTTAAATGGGTGACTCTGGGAGAACTCGGACCTAGAGTCTAATGGAGAAAACTTCTGAAACAGCGGTTTCTTATCTGATCACAGGGCTGGAGCCTAGTGGCCCACACCAGCGGTTTTCATACCTTCATGGCATCAGTATCGCTGGAGGACTTGTCACAGAACAGAGCTCTGTCCCCCCTACCCAGGAGATTCTGATTTGATGGGTCTGGATTGAGGTCTCTGCACTTACAGCAAGCACGCAGGTGCTGCTGCTACTGCTGCTGACCACTGTGAGAGTCACTGCTAATAGACAACTGAGGGGACTTGTTACCCTTCCAGCCTTTGGAGTCACCTGACGTCCTGGCAAGATCTTAGATCCCAAGCTGCTATTCTAGAATGGGGTGATCTCAGACTGACCCTTCTCTTGGATCTTGTTGAGTCCTACATTCTAGAGACTGCCTCAGTACTCCAGAGGGCCAGATGGAGGCCAAAGCACTTGCTTTCCCTAAGGTCAAAGGCCGCCAGCCTTCCTGACCATGCCCCTTCCCCTAGTCCTGCACAGGCAGGATTAGGATGAGAGCTGTGGACAGTTGGGCCATGGTAATCTTGACGTCATTAGCGCTGCACTTTGGCCCCCAAATCTGCTGTACAGGTGGAGGTGGTGACGTCACTAGTTGCAGCTTCCAAAGCCTGTTTTGCCCCGTGGCTGATTGCCTGAGCCGACTCAGTTCTCTGACTTCAGGTGGTGTGAGCAAAGAAAGGAAGAGTTGAAAACATGAAGTGGTGAAGGTTTTGTTGAAGAAATAGCCCTTCGCCTTCCCCTTCCCACCACCTCCTTCCAGGATTTCTTCGTGGTTGTTTTTTGCCTCAAATCTGAAAAAAATACTGCTAAGAGAAAAATTTCAGAAGCATACCCAGTTTCCCCCAGGTTTTTATCATCTTATAATTATGCTGTATGGCATCATTTCATAATTAAATCAAGCTACACGTAGTGTTTGTTCCTAAACCTCTACGAAGTTACTTCACAGATTTTAAAGAGTGTTTTTTTTTTAAAAGAGTGATTTTAAAGAGTGCTTTAGCAGTTCTGGAAAGTTTAGATTTCAAGTCTCCCCCATTTTGCCCTCCTTGGTAGGTGAGGAGCCTCTGGTTGTAGCGCTCTCCCATGTACAAGAGAAACCCCAGGGTGACGCTTGTGGGGCAGGGACAGGCTTACCTGAGAACTGTCCACTCAGGCCTGCCTTGGGGCTTCTCTGAGGGGCCTGGGTGAGACAAGGCATCTCTGACGTCTATTTCTCCCAACTCGAGCAGTGGAGGGTCAAGCAACCCTCATGGAGGGGCAGGGTTAGGGCTACTTACTATGCCCATGGAGTAATAGGGAGAAACCATATCTGTAATTAGCTATGAGAGTCCTGGTGTGGCACTGTAGGAGAAGCACTCAATACCAAGGTTGGTTTGAACTGAAAGGTCAGCAGTTCAAACTCACTAGCTGCTCCTTGGAAACCCTATACAGGGTTGTTATGGGTTGGAAGCAACTTAACAGCACTTAACAACAACAGTAGACCTTATTTTACTGATTGTGTTACTGTGTGCCATCGAGCTGATTCTGACTCATCATGACCCAATGTAACAGTAGAACTGCCCTTATAGGGTCTCATAGGCTGCCGTCTCGAGTGGATCACTAGGCCTTTTCTCCCATGGAGTCACTGATGGGTTCAAACTGCCAATCTTTTGGTTAGCAGCCGAGCACTTCACCATTGCTCCACCAAGACTCCTCCTTTTACTGATTTTCTTCTTTTTTTTTTTTTTACCATAACACCTATTGTTGTTAAGTGCTGTCAAGTCAGTTCTGACTCATAGCGACCCTATATAGGGTTTCCGAGAAAAGGCTGGTAGGTTTGAACCGCTGACCTTATACTTAGCGGTCCGGTGTTTATCCTACCATGCCACACACACCAAGACTCTACCATAGTACCTAACAGTGCTTAATTGGCAGCATTTTTTTTTTCTTCCTTAGTGGTTTAATACAGTAATGGTATGACTTACAATTGGTATTGTCTCCAATTCAGTGAAAAACTGTAGTAGTAGTAGTAGTAATAAATATAATAAATAAATAAATTGTAGTAGTAATAAATACATTCAGAAAATTGCCCCTGAGAAATACCTAAACACACCCTGAAATGGTACAGACAGTATCAACCAAGCATGACCCCCTCCTGCTCTTGTAGAATTTTGTTTTCAAATAATGGAGACCTGGAAACATGCACAGATCCAGAGCTGCCAGTAGGGCTCCATCGCTGCCTCTGACCTCTCTCTGACTTCAAGGTTCCCCCCACCCCATCTGTCCAGCGTACCGAGGAGTATGAGTACTAAGAGTACTCTCACTCATATAAACCACTAAGAAAGGGGGGAAATGTTGCCAATTAAGCCAAGATACACAATTTTATGATGCCTTGATTTCAGAGATGTTAAAATGTATCCTAGAGTCAATAAATGAGGTCCACCTTATGTGGCGCTGTAGGATAATCACTGGACCAAGAGGTCAGTTTGGACCCCAAGGTTGGCAGTCTGAACCAGCATTACAGCATTAACAACATAGTTAAGTACAAAGCTTAAGCTTTAGTCTCTATCCATCAGGAAACATTACCAGAGAGTTCCTTCAAAAATATGCCATGATTGATGATCTCCCACTGGAGGCTTTTGAGGCCTGTCCCTTCACTTTCTCCAGACCACATATCCCAAAAGAACATGCTGTGGGAGGCAGGCTGCCTCCTGGCTCAGCACTGGTCAGCTGAGTGGCCTCAGAGAAGTTACCAACCCTTCTGAGCCTCATTTGTCTCATCAGTAAAATAGAACCCCCCAAAAAATGTATCTTGCCCAAATGTATGCATGTGTGTGGACCTTGTAACCCAATGAGTGAAAGGCTTCAGCTTGCAGGCCAAATTTGGCTTGTTTTTGTAAATAACATTTTATTGAACACATCAGACCTTACTCTTTACATATAGTGTTGGCTGTTTTCACACTGAATGGCAGAGTTGAGTTGTTGCACCAGAAACCATGTGGCCCGCAAAGCCTAAAATAGTACTTTTACTCCTTTTCAGTAAAAATTTCCCAACTCCTCAAGTTTCCCAACTCCTGATGTAAGCTGGGGCACTACGTTATTCTTGTTGGTAAGGGAAATCTTTAAAATGTATGTTCCTGGGCCCCAAACCAGACCTAGAGATGTCAAGTAGATAGTGAGCAATTATAGTGAACCTACGGGACAGGCTAGAACTGCTTCTTAGGGTCTCCAAGGTACTAAATCTTTGCCGAAGCAGACTGCCTCATCTTTCTCTCACAGAACAGCTGATGGGTTTGAATGGTCAACCTTTTGGTTCTTAACATTGCTCGGCTCCAGACTTAACTGGTTTAGAATCTGTAGAACCAGAAATCTGTATTTCTTACAGCTTCCCAGATGATTCTGTTATAGCCCATGTTGTTGTTGTTGATAAGTGCCATTGAGTCAGTTCTGAGCCGCTGACTTTAGCAGTCCAGTTCTTATCCTGCAGCACCAGACCAGGATCCCATTATAGCCCATTTGTTGCTGTTGTTGTTAAATGCCATCGAGTCATACTGACCTGTATAGGGTTTCCAAGGAGCAGCTGGTGAGTTTGAATTGCCAACTGTGCGGTTAGCAGTCCAGTGCGTATCCTACAGCACCATGTCAGGACTCCATTATAACCCATGGATTTTGGAAAATTAACTGCAACAGGTAAAGCTGCTCAAAAGATTTCCCAGGAACAGTGTCAGATGACCAGGAATGAGTATTATGCAGTAAGGATTACTGTCTTGTCACTATTAATGGTAGTGAGTGTAACCTATGGCTATAGGGAGAGACTGTCCAGGAGCAGTCCCCAGGTCTTGGGAGTGCAAGCAGCCCTGATGAGAGAACCTAGCCTTTGATAGGTTCACTGAGCTTTTACTTCTTACAGCCATGTCGAAATCTGCCATGAAGATATCCTTGGACTTACTCTCCAATCCCCTCTGTGAACAAGACCAGGAATTCTTGAATATGGTGACAGCCCTGGACACTGCCATGAAGCGGATGGATGCCTTCAACCAGGAAAAGGTGGCTGAGGTCTTGTCTTTGGTGGCCAAGAGCAATACTTCCAGTCTCCTCCCTTCTGTTGGCTTCTACCTAGTGGTGTGCTCACATGGAGGTCTCAGTCTGCTCTTTGCATTGACTCAGCCCTCTGTGTTATGAGCCCCAGCTGAATTCTTTCCTGGCTGCTCTGCTTCAGCACTGGCTGCCTCCCATGGCTTTGTAAGCTCACATCATTCACCGTGAGGCCATGATGGGCACTCATGGTAACTCTTCTAGCTCCTAGCACCTAGACCCTTGAGTGGGCCTCAACAGCTTTTTACAGTTGGCTACCCAGCACTCTTTACTGAGCAAGGCCATAAGTCTTGGCAGACAGTGGCTAATAGGCTGAGAACTGGCAGGGGCAGGGGAGGGCTTGTTCCCAGTTGCCACCTCTGTCTCACAGCTGCAGAGTTAGTAGTGCCCCTCTGCCTTGTACTCTGCTCCCAGCAGGTGTCTATCGCCTGCAGTTCTGATTGGGTTTTTCTTTTGACAGGTAAACCAGATCCAAAAGACCGTGATTGAACCCTTAAAAAAGTGAGTAACTGTCTTAAGGGACCATAGGTCTCAGAGAACTAGGGTCAGGACACTTATTTAAAAGGTGGGAAAAGCAGACATTTGGAGGGGAGGCAGATTATTTGCTCCTGCGGTGCTAAATACCACTGAGTGACCCCAGTCCGAATGAGGTCTAGCAGGTAACTCAACAGAGGATGCAGCTGTGATCTTCGGCCCTGAGGTTGGTGCTCTGGGTAGTTCCAGAGACACCCGCCGTGGCCCAGACATGCCAAGTCATGGCAGGGAACTTGGGATCCTTCTGCAGAGGCCAGACTTTGCTCCAGTGGTCATTTTGCCACTTTCCCCTTTGTTCCTGATGGAGAACCAGTGGGACCAGAGCTTGCTGAATTAAGCTAGCGGAGATCTTGGCCAGCCCTCAGCGGAGATGAGCTAGGCCTTTCATCTCTCTCAGCCGCATTGGGAGAGCAGCTGCCTGCAGCACTCAGCTTTTGAAATGTGGGGGTGGCCGCACATGGGGAGGGAGCGGCAGCCTGGTCCTGCCTGGGGATGCTCTGTAATTCATGGCCTGTCAGGGTCAGACCTTCTTCTGTCAGGCAGGGCTCTCTGGTCAGTGATCAGACAGGCCTACTCCCTGAGTCCCCTGAGGGGGAAAGCGTGCAGGAGGGACAGGCAAGAGCATTGCCTTGAAGCTCCCAAATCACTTCATCTTCTGCCCTAGCCTCGCCCAAGCAGCTCTGACCTAGAAAGGCTCCCCATTTCAGTCCAGCAGCTGCACTTTATTACCTCTTCTGCGGTGGTCCCTGGCAGTTGCCTCACCAGGGCCCTGGGTAATGAGGCTCTGCTTAATTATCATTAGGCCTGGATCAGGGCCCGGAGGTAGATGAAGAGAGCAGTTTTTGATCCTCCAGCCCCCAGTGTTTGGAGATTGTCGAGCTATTCGTTTTCTGTTCAGGTCCAAGGGGTGGGGTTAGGACAAAGCTCTTCTAACCTCTCAAAGCTGTTCTTCTAAAAAGGGGCTGTCTGGAGGACCAGGGCTGGCTGAGAGGCTCAAACCTGGAAAGAGAAGAGGGAAGGCTTTGTCTCCTCCCCATTCCTTTCCCCTGGACCCATCCCTAGGGTAGCTATCCACAGCCTCCTTCCCCCTCATCCTTGTTCAAGGTCAGATGAGGAGCTCAGTGTTAAAGGAAGCAAGAGAGACAGCCAGCTAGTGGGTCTGGAGGAAGTTGTCAGGTTAAGTTAGATTGCTGGTGGCTTTACGTCCTGGCCTTCCTAAGAGAGGGTTCACAGGTGGTAAGGGATGTAGGCTGCTGGTGGCCAGCAGAGCATACACGCCTGTGTAGGACAATTCTGGGCCAGGGCTGTGGGGTCCCATGGTGGGGCTCTCCTAGGTCAGCTGAACTGCTGCAGAAGCTGCCATAGCACCCACCCGGGCGGGCAGAGCTCAGCAGGGGACACCAGCTCAGAGAGCTCAGGGCTGACTGCTGTCTCGATTTCACAATCAACGAGGCGGCCTTGAAATCTGATCCCTGGCTTCTGGAGCTAGAGCCAAGTGGAGAAATCCCGGCTGCTTCCCACCACCATGGCAGCCCACCTGCCAGGAAGGTGGGTGAGTGACAGAGGGGGCAGGCCATCTCCCAAGCAGATCCGCTGACCTCTGTGTGAGCCCCTCAGACTGAGACCATCTTGGCCACTGCCCTACATCTCCATCCCCACCATGCAATCTCCCCCATCCACAGACTACCAGCACTGCCTGTTGCTTCCTCCCCAGTTTGCATCCTCTTGCCAGGAGAGAGGTTCCCAGGGACCCCAGCACCGGAAACAGGAAACTGCAGCTTTCCTGTCCTCTGATGAAGAGCACACCACATGGCCACCGAGCCACCCCCAAGCCTCCCCCCAGGGGGCTCGGCCTCTAATCCCCCAGTCTCTGGGCCTGTGTTCACATGGTCGGATGGGGATGCTTTCAATTTCCCTTTCCTGGTGGGTGGAAGATCCCGGCTGTGTGGGCACAGATTGAGGAATGGCAGGCATTCCCCACCAGGCCGGCTGCTCCCAGCCCACCTCCCAGCCGGCCTCACTCTCTCCTTCCCTCCTCCCCTCCTCCCTTTCTTTCTCCCTCTTCACCCCACGCTTATCAGGGGGAGGTAGTTTGAGATCGGACCTTAGGACAGGCAAGAAAAGGGCCGTGGTCATTGGCAGAGCTCCTGTGAGAGCCTGCTGGGGGCCTCACCCTGTGCCCCCTGCTTTGAGGACTGCAAGCTCCATGTACAGCACAACTTGAGCTGGTGGCCTGGTGGGGAAGCCATGACAGTGTTCTCAAGAAAGAGGAGTCAGGGATAGTGCCGGCCAGCCATGTAGCATGCAGGGGAGTGGAGAGAGCGCTGGACAGCCCTGGACAGCTGGACAGCTCCAACTAGTTGTGACCTCGGGCGGGCGAGTCACCACTCCTCCAAGTCTGTTTCCTCATCTGTGGGAAGAGGGACTGGAATTCTCGGGATGGTGGAGTTGATGCTTAAGAGTAGGGGGAGTAGGGTTCTGCAGGGAGGAGAACGGAGTGCGTGCTGGAGAACAGAAGGCATCCTGCGGTCCTGACCAGCAATGACTAAACATCTGGGGTGTGAAGTGCCGAGCACAGGGGGTCTGGATCTTGGCCTTCTTTCTTTGTGGCAGATAGATGAATAAGAGTGTGACTCCAAGCTGGAGACCTTCTCCATCCTTCGTGTTAGAGAGTCAGCAGGTACCTCAGTAGAGGCCCAGAGGCATGTCTGGGAGAGGCCCTTGCACTGGGGACCAGCCTATGCTTGTCTCCACCATCCCTGCTGGCACCCAAACCCCTGAGCTGAAGGTGGAGGAAAACACTCCAAATCTGAGGAGGGAGAGAGCTCCTTTCACAACACCATGGTTATTTCCACTGCCTGCCACTTGGAGCTGGGAAAGTCTGTGCCATTGCTTCTGAGTAGAAATGGAGAGGTGGAAGCCAGGGATTAGAAAGCCCCGGTCCCTCCACTCTCACCAGTCACCTCCAAAGAAGCTATGCCGCCTCCCCGGCCCTCTTTTGGTTTGCCTCCCTTTAATGTCAGGAGGGTGTAAAACCTACCCTAGGGAATACCAACGCCCAAGGCACAAAGCCACCCAAGTAGGCACTTGTTAGTAATTCACCTCCAGTGAGCCAAGCCAGCTAAGCCTTCCCAGGGTATCTTGGATTGAAGGCTGGTCTTTTGGGAGGCAAAAGTTATCATGATGAAGAAATTGTTCCCCGAGTGTGATCGGGTGAGCCTGTTTCCATTGTAGCCACTTCCTCCCGCACAGGACAGGTGGTCTTGTTTCAGAAAGCTGAAGAGTAGGCGCCCTGTGATAGGTACCATTGTGTGGACACAGCACTCTTAACCCCATTCATCACCTGAGCTTTCCTCAGGTTGTGTGGAAATCTGTAACGGGGACTCTGGTCCCCAGACAAACCCCAATTGGCAAATTAGGGCAAAGGGTTATGAGGATGAGCTAAGGTACAAGTGCACTTGGGGTCAGAGGGTACCATCTCCTGTGGTTTCTTGACCACTAGTATATTGACAGTCTTATGTTGCACCTCTAGAATGCTGCTTACACTTGAGAGCATCTCGCTGCCATTTCTTGTTGTAATGCCCTCTTTCCTGAGAATATAAGTTTGAAGCAATGAGGTTGTAGCGAGGGAAAATAAACGCTCCACCTGCTACTTCCCTGCCTGGTTTTCATTCTTGCCCTGTTTCTATCTTCAGTCGCCCAAGAACGGGTGCTACCTAAGTAGCAGATTGCATCTCACAAGAGAGTCAGGATGGCTGCTAGTAGCCCTTGTCCAGTTGGGGTGGAAGGGGAGGCAGCTGTGGTAGTTTCTCAGGCCCAAGTGCACCTGCTCCCTGAACCACATGCCTGTTCAGCTGCCAGTCACACTCCTCCCAGGAAGGGAGAGGAGCTCCCCTAGCAACTGAGACTCCACCATAGCAACTGCCTTAGGCAAAGGCAGTCAATGTGGCGCTCCCGATGGCATCACTCGTTCACACTCAGTCCCTAGATGACCTGGTGTCCTTGAGGTGTCTTGTTCCCACGTCCGGTTTGTGCAGCGCTAACTAGGCCTACATCTTCGGCCTAGCTTGGGCAAATCCATCAGTCTTGATTACTTGGTATAGGGACCTGTGGCTAAGGCTTCATAGATGTTTGGGTGGTTTTACCCAGTCCTGTAGCATTTCCAGTTAGGTAGTGGGCTTGTTGCAGATCCCCATTAGCTTCAAAAAATTCATTTTAGTACCTTTTTCAAGGTACTTTGTTTCCTCAGAATCCACTTCCTGGGTCAGTAGCTTAGTTTGGGGCTTAGTTTAATACTTTGGTCAAGTTTATGTTCCCTCTTCTGTGACAGAAATATCCATTACTCTCATTTCACACTTACTCTTGGTTTTGTTGAGGCTTTTGTTCTTTTGTTCCAAGTCCATGGCAGTGTTCCTTTGAGAGACAAATCTGGGAAGTCATGTGGTATCTGAACTACCTGAAGTGACCTATGAGAATGTAGAACAGAATGCTTGTTCAAGGCTGAAATCACCAACCAGTTTATGTCCCAGTGAGGAGAGCCCCAGACCCAACAATTTGTTCCTGCATCTTGCCTTTTCATTTTATTGGAGTTATTACTCATATGCCATACCAGGAAGAACTAAGTCGTCTTCTTGGTGTCAATCACCAATTTCATGCTTCTGAATAATCGCTGAGTTGAAAATGACCAGATCTAGGGCAGCTGTGCCTGACTGACTCCAGCTTGTGTGTTAGTCTCATCCTACTGCTGGACAGAGCTCTGAGAGAGAGCCATCTACTGTACCTCCGGCTTCTCAGTCAAGGAGGCTGCTGCTCACCTTCTGTCCCTTTCCAGAAGAACTGTTTGCAGATTTTCTCCAACACTCTGGGGCCACAAGAAGCAACCCTGCCATGTTACCATCTCAAGAGATGATTGCCCCCCCTCAAAGTTAAAAGTGACACGGGTGGTGGTGGTTGTGTGCCTCCAAGTCGGTTGCAACTCATAGCAACCCCTTACAGGATTTCCAAGGTTGTAAATCTTGACGGGAGTAGAAAGCCCCATCTTTCTCCCACAGAGCAACTGGTAGATTCCAACTATTGACCTTGTGGTTAGCAACCCACCTAATAATCCGTTACACTACCAGGGGTCCTTATAAAGACGACACTAGTCACAGTGATTGTTGTTGTTACGTGCTATCGAGTCTATTCCAACTCATAGCGCCCCTGTGTAAGGTGTCCGAGGAACAGCTGGTGGGTTTGAACTGTTGACCTTGTGGTTAGAAGTTCAGTGCTTATCCTACAATGCCATACGAGGACTCCAATCACAATGATTAGTGTGGCCAAAAATGCTAAAACATCTATTGTTCTTTCTTCCTGGCCCACTGCTCAGAGAACTTAGCCCTGTTGTGGTAATTTTCACTTGTAGTGGGTGGGAGCAGGCCCTTGCATCGTTTTCCTAAAAGATCTGGTTTGATAGTGTGGCCATTTCAGTAGCAGACCATAGGATTCCTGCTTTTACCATGTTCACGTGGTGAACAATTCTATTACCTACTAGTTAACAGACATCATGGGGTAGAGGAAAGGGCATCCGACAGAGAACCGGCGTGTGAGTTCTCTTCTAGACTGTTGCTATGTAGTTGTGACCTTGGGCAAGTCATGTAATCTCTCTGGCTTCACTGTCTTTCCTTTTTACAATGGAGATGTTGGACAGATAACTTCCAGGGTGTCTTCCAGCTCTCACATCCTCAACAGTGGTGGGTGGGTAAGGAGCAGTGGGCATTGTAAGTGGCATCCTTCGTTCATTTCCCATTGTGTGTTAGGACCAGTGGAATGCCCTTAGCCCTGTCTTCTTTCCCACAACCTTATAGCCAAAGAAAGCATTCTCAGTACCATAGCTCCATAAGGACCAGGACCTCATCTGTCTTATTTATGGCTGAGTTCCCAAAAGCTAGAACAGAGTGTAGCACTTAGTAGGTACCCAGTTTTCTTTTTTTAATACATGATGACTCAGGCTATCCCACCGGGGTCTGGGCCTGTGTCTGGCAGATTTGGCAGTGTCTTCCCGAGCCTCAACATGGCGGTGAAACGGCGGGAACAGGCCTTGCAGGACTATAGGAGATTACAAGCCAAGGTGGAGAAATATGAGGAGAAGGAGAAGACGGGGCCGGTGCTGGCCAAACTCCACCAGGTACCAAGGGCAAAGGGAGCAGGGCAGAGTGGGTGAAGGGAGGCAGAAGGGAGAAGGGCGGATAATGATTGTAGTCATAGATGGTAAGTATCACCCCTCACCTGGGGACTTAACACTCTGCAGCTGGGGGACCAAGACACCAGATACCCTGATACCCAGCCCCCTTCCACTCACACACATATACACGTCATAGACCCAGTAGGGACAGTGAATAAGCCGTTTTCTTTCCCAGGCTCGGGAAGAGCTTCGGCCCGTGAAGGATGACTTTGAAGCCAAAAACAAGCAGCTCCTAGATGAAATGCCTCGGTTCTACAACAGCCGACTCAACTACTTCCAGCCCAGTTTTGAGTCCCTAATCCGAGCCCAGGTGAGGCCGTTCCCCACCCTGCACTTCTTCCCTTGGAAGATAGGTCACAGGCTTTGTAGACACACGTCATGCCATCCCCAACTCCCCACATTGAAAGGATAGCTTAGCCATTCTCTGTAAAGACAACATCACCACCATACCGTGTGTACCTTGTGTGCCCCAAGGCAACGTCATTTCAGTACTGGATCTGGGGGGAGTCTAATTTTTTTATGATTATTTCTGATTTGGTTTCTACATTGCTCTTTGGTTTATCGGCAGCCCTAAGAGCCCTGGTGTGGCACTGGACTGCGAATCACAAAATCAGCAGGTCAAAACCTCACTAACTGCTCTCGGGAACCCTATACTGTGTCACTGTGAGTTGGAACCGACTCAGTGGCATACAGGATGGACACATTTCCATTTTGTTTTTCCTTCAGTTTCTCTGTCACACACATTTTGCTCTAAACAGCAAGAAGGGATAGGACAGCATCTTCCTGTTGATGGGCAGATGCCCAGTGTGCTCGGGTGGTGGTCGGGGTTCTAGAGGTCTGTAGAGTGAAGGTAGCTAAAGCCATTTCCTGAGGACCCAACACCCCTCCCCTCCTTTTCCAAGTTAGTCCTCTTCATTTGACAGGAGGTCACAAGGTCTCACTGAACCCTGAGAGGCTGTGGAGCCTTTGCCTGGGACACAGCTCAGGGCTGCGGTGGCCTCCAGGGCCTGGGTTACAGGCCGGTGCTAGTGGGGTTGCACAGCCAACACAGTAGGGCTGCTCCTTCTCCTTGTGGAGTGGACGCAGGTCGTGTGATCTTATGTGGCTTCTGTTCTTCTATCCTTCATTCTTCAAGGCTTTGTGGTTGTTAAGTGCTGTCAAGTCAGTTCTGATCCTACTGACCCTGTATAGGGTTTTCGAGGAGCAGCTGGTGAGCTTGAACCACCAACATTGTGGTTCTTCAGACCGACTTTGCAGCCACACATTAACCCTCACAGTGCCACACCAGAATGTGATTATTCTCCCCAGTTGTAAAAGGGAGAAAATTAGGGTGCCAAAGCCAAAATGTCTTTCCAGATGGGACCTCCAGCTGATTGCATGTTCTCAGCATCAGTCTGAGAACCCTGCTACCTTTCTCACAGTTGACAAAGCTGAAGCCTAATATGTCATCACTTACTCAACCCATTTCTGTTCTTGACCTGGGTATCTGACGCCCTCTAGTGGAGGTTGTCACTCCTTGAGAGTCCTTCGGGAGCCCAAGGAAAAGGCAGATTCCCACCTCCTAAACTGCCATCTTTGGAAAACACCAAGACAACAAGACCCGCATCCTTGCTATCAAGAACTCAGAAACAGGAGTTATATTGCAGCTGGGACTTTTTGGTGACCTGTGCCCTTCATCCTATGCTGTGTCTAGGGAGAAAAGGAACCAAGCTGATGTGTGTGTGTGTGTGTGTATCCTTCACCAGCAGGAGTTGGAGGACGCCCCACACTTGCACCTAGAGCATTGTCCTTGGAGTTGACTTATCCAGTATGTGCCTCCCCAAGCAGCTTCACCCCTCTGACCAGGGAGGAAATGTGTTTAAATAGGGAAATCTATGCCTTCCTTTTGTCACCGTCCCTACCTTCAGCTCCAGAGCAACCCACGTGCTGCCCTGCCTCTGCCATCAGTAGTGTTCTAAGGGGATATGCCAGGCTGTCCAAGCTTAGGCATGCCCAGGTTGGAGCAGTTAGGGGGACAGGGATGCCCTGTAACCAAGCAATGTGGGAGCCGGGGGTTGTTTACTGCCTCCTCAGCACCAGCCTCCTCCTCACCCGGCTGCCACTGCCATGAGTCACTGGAGAAGTGAGCATTCCTAGTGACTCAACCAACGCAGTGCGGTTTGTGGGGGGCTGGGCAGGGTGGACCATCCTCTCCCAGCACTAGCCTGGGCTTGCCCTCAGGCCCCCATCCTGTGAGGCAACAGCAGTAGGTTGAGCTCTTCCTTTAGTTCCCTTCAGCCCATTAGATACCTGACAGTGGGAATCTGGAAGAGACATTTCCTGAAACAGCTTAAGCACAGGTCCTTGCCATCCAAGCAGGGCCCCTTCCACCACACTGCTGCTTGGCCTTGCCTTAGGAGTGAGGCCTGTCCAAGCCAAGCTCCAAAGAAGCAGCAGAGTTCCTTCTCCCCGAAGACAGCTTGCAACTGAGGTGATCAAATTAGGATGGTTTGAACAGTGTGACCACTTTCAGTGAAGTACATGCTTTCACTTGGTCATGAGAGAGAGACTGAGGCAGAAATGCCTGCTAGCCCCTCCTGGAAAGCCTGGATCCTGGATCTCTTCAGACCGTGGGTCTAAGCAGACCTTGGCCATCTGAGAAGTTGCCAATGGGGACTGCCCTATTCCTGTGCATGCCTCTGACCTCACTCCTGTGGCCATCCCCCATCCCTTTGCTGTGCCTACAGAGAAGGAAACATGGACATGAACCTGGCTTTCCTGGGCAGTACAGCTGAAGTGGTGAATACTGGGGGATTGTCAACTAGGAAGGAACAGAAGACAACAGTGTCCTCTTTCCCAATTTTGGAGACTGACTCTCAGGGCTGTGGGAGCCATGAACCTACCATTACCTCTTCTCCTAAGGACAAAAGCTAGGTCCGACACAGCAGCAGACTCCTAGTCACACTCTCCTGCCTTCCAGAAAGAAGCCTTGGGTTGTGATTTGTCTTTCTCCAGCCATTCACTTCCCCCCTCTCCAGCACACAGGTCCATTTCGTCACACAACCGATGCAGCTGGGCTAGCACCAGGAACTGTTAAGGAAGGGGTCTCCACCTCACCAAGGACTGATAGTCCTTCCCTCATGTACAGGCTGCCACCCTGGAGACTGGTGTGGGGCTGTAGGCTAAGCAGACTGCACTTCACACTAACCAGCCACTCCTCAAAAACCCTAGACAGGGTCACTGAGTCCACAACACAACACCACCCTGGGGATTAGATCAGAGCCTTTCCCATGGATATTTCTGAAGGGCTCAGGGCTGTGGCTTCACTCCTTTCCATGTCACTATGGGAACTGGGGTGAGGAAGAGAGGTAGTGTTGGGGCAGTGGCTGGGTGATGGGGTGGTACCCTCCCTATCCATGGCACTCTGCTTGTGGCACACGGGCAAGGGCCTCACAACCCCGGTTCTCTAGCCCTGCTTCCCCACCTGCACTGCTGTGTCCGAGGGATGTTTTGGGTGGTTGGTGTCCAGGGAGCCTAGCACTTGCCAATCTCTTGCCTCCCCACCCAGGTTGTGTACTACTCAGAAATGCAGAAGATCTTTGGAGACCTGACCCAGCAGCTCGACCAGCCAGGCCACAGTGATGAGCAGCGGGAACGGGAGAATGAGGCCAGACTGAGCGAACTCAGAGCCCTCTCTATTGTGGCTGATGACTGAATTCCTCCTAAAGACTGCTGAGACACTAGTCACCTTTTTAGCTTAGTCTCATGTTCCTCCCATTCTTCTGCCTAGCAAAAGGCTCTCTCCTGGGAGAAAATGGCCACCAGCAAGTTGGGGAAGTACCTCACCAGCCCTTGGAAATGAGTGAGTCTTCATTGCCTTTAACTCCTAGCTGTTGTCTCCCCACTCAACAGGAAGCAGTCAGACACAAGTTACGCAATGTAGCAAACCCCTAGGGGCTTTATTTCCAAAAGAACTGTCCAAAGTACAACATCCAGGCCGAGGGCTATAGCCAGTTTGAGCCCTTCAAGGTTTTGTCAGCTAAGGCTCTTGCCTGTGTGCATGCTTGGGATCCCATCAACCTCCAGATGAGCCACCCTGAGGAGCCCACCAACCCCCTTTTGCCTTTTCAAGGAGAGAGGCCTCTGGCCTAAGTTTTGAAGCATGGGAAAGGCTGAATCCTGCTCATCTCCATCCCTCAGGTCCAGTGCAGGAAAGAGCTCCAGTCTGTGAGCTTCCCTGGGCAACTGGGGGGCAACCTGTGCAACTATCACACTAGTCAGTGTCACATCAGTCACAGGCAGCAAAGAACACCGGGTTTCTGTCTCACCTGAAATTTGGAATTCTATTTTTTGAGTAAAGTTTTCAATAAAATACCCATATGTTACTGTGCTCTACCTAAGGATAGAAGGGAAGGCCAGCAAAGCTTTTATCAGGATGCTGCTGCCCCCTGCTGACCTGGCCGGCCATCTACATGGCTGTCTCCTGGATCCACACCCCTACCCCCAAGCCCAGCTCTTCTTCCTTCTCACTGCCCTGCTCCAGCTGCTGGAGACTCCTGCACTAGGAACCTGGGGGGTACCGGGAGTGCAGGCAAACCTACATGAGGAATAAGGGAAGAGCTATGGAGGACACTTGGTTTGTTTTTGACTTTGGTTTATTTAAAAAAACAAAAAGCCAAAAAAAAAAAAAAAAAAAAACCAACTTTATATATAAAGTCAAACTGAAACCACGAATTATGGAAAGAGGTGAGAATTATGGGTAATGGGGAGAAAGGCTGGGTCAGAGCCGATACCACATTCTGAACACGGGGAACCAGGGGAAAGAGGTGCTGGTTTCTTCCGGCAAGTCTAGGGTGTTAGCAAACACAGCCCAACACTGACTCCATTCCAGTGGTGACCAAGTCAAGAACCTGCTCCTGTAGTCTAGGGGTATTTGTGCCATCCAGGTTACAGGGTTCTTCTTAACCCCAAGCCAAATTCCCCGTTTCTTCAGTTTTACTGGTGTTCAACCTTGTCACATACTCAAAAAGCCTTTTCCTCCCCTGTCTTAGTCTAAACTGGAAGAGGACAGGAGAAAGTCAGCACAAGACTAAAAGGGCCCCAGGAAAAACTCCAAGGTAGAGGGCAAAATGACATTCTAGGGGTGTAAAAGATGTTGTATTTAGTAGTAACTGGAACCGGGGTTCCTCACCGATCTGTCCCATACAGCACAGATAGACCCCACCCTGGTGGCTGAGCACAGGGGTCAACCTGCCTTGCCTATGGCTCCTAGGTCCTGCTCCAGCTGCTTTCTGGTACCAAAAGGGCTCTTAACTTCCTCAGATTCCATCGCTGACCTCACAGGATGGCAATTCCTGTGCAAGGCCCCTCAGTTGGTAGGTGCTGGCTCCTCCTTATCAACCCAGCTGTCAGCCTGAAACAGAGGTAAAGAGAATTAGGATTCCCCAAGAAGGAAAAATGGCAAGATTTGAGAATTACTAAATACTTACATCTGGGAGACTTAAGTTGACGGCTGATGACTAATTACACAAGAAACTAATGAATGGAGGAGGAAAACAAGGTGCACTTGGGCAAGGGGAAGGGCTGGTTTACTGGTTCTCCTCTCTAGAAATGACAGCAAGCTCTCTTCAAGAACAGTCCCAACCAAACAGTTCACGCCTTGCTCTCTACCCCCCACCTCACCTTTTCAACCATTCGCTGCATCTCAAGCTGCAAAGGGGTCAGACGCCTTCGAAAGTCTTGTAGCAGCCGCTGAAATTGGTTCTTCTGTCTTTCAGCTGTCCTGGCCATCTCCTCAGCCTCAGTCAACCGCGTCCGCAACTCCTGCATTTCTGCTGCCAGTGTCTTGTTCGTTACTTCAGTGGCTGAGAATCGGTGATGGCTCTCCTCTGGGGGGGGGAGGGGAAAACATACCAGAAAGACAGCTGCTCACACAATCACTACAGCATAGAGCAAGAGGAATAAAGTCTTAAGGCATGGGGTCTGTCTCCCAGTATGACCCATCCCAAGGTAGAAGTCCCTACTCACCCAGCTTCAGTTCCAGTGTGTGAATCTTGTTCTCCAGGTAGAGCCGTCCACTGTCCTGCTGCTCTGCACGTTGCAACAAGTTCCCCACATTGATCAGGCTGCCGTTGTGGGACACCAGACCTTTGTGTTCCACAGGGGCAGCGCCTGACTTCGCGCTTTTCCCGGAAGGAGGTAGCAAATCAAGGTTTCCTAAAGAGGCCATGGAGAAGTGTAAGTGAAGTGTCTCACAGTGGAAAAAAAAGGCTGCCCTCCCTGTGCATTCTCCACCAAAGGCTGCAAAAGTGCCAGCACGTACCAAAGAGCGCCTCCTCAGGAAGCCCACCATCTGTGCCCTCCTGGCGGCTATACTGAAGGCTCCGGTACTGGCAGATGTTCTGCGTCACCACCCTGCTGACCAGCTGCTTGGCCTACAGTAAACATGTGCCTAAAATACCCCATTGAGGAGGAAGCCCAAGGCCCTGCCCCAGTGTCAAGCAAGGCCCTGGAATTAAAGGAGTTAAGTGTGGGCCATTTCAGAAAGGAGAAGGTACCTGCTCTGCACTGAGCCGGAGCCCAAGGGTAAGTAAGATCCTCTCCAAGTCTCTCCGGTGCAAGTAGCCACACCAGTTGGCATCAAAGAACACAAAAGCAAGAAGACAATCCAAGGGGAGCACAGCAGAGGGATCTAGCTCCTTGGGCTGCCAAGAAAAACAAGGATGTACAGGCAATTTACAAATTGTTCTCAGTGAATCAATCACACAGGACACAGCCTTCTTTCTAAACAGCTTAACTGACTTAAGCACATGGACACAGGCCTTCCAGTTAGAGACACTGAGCCAGGCTGAATCACCAGGCCTAACTCCAAAAGCTGCACAAAAAAGCCCCAGAGGTACTCCTAAGTCAGATCCACCCCAACAAAGTTCCCCAATGGAGATACTGAAATAGTCTGCCATTCCTTTTGTCTTTTAACCATCAAGAAGAATCTTGTGCTGCCCCCAAGATGCCAGAAATCACTTGGTAAAGTCACAGGAGTGAGTCAGAGGCCCAAAGAAATGGAACTGGTCTCACCATGTCCTGAAGTGAAGAGAACTCCATCTCTGACTGGTTTGAGGCAACAGACCGGACCTCTGAATCCTCCAGCTTTGCTCCTGCTACAGAAAGTCCAAGATAAACATGGATCACAGGCTGCACCTGTCCCAAACTCAGTCTATAGTCACAAAAGGAAAGCCCAGAGCTACTGTCCCTCTCATGCCACCGAACATACCGAATTCCTCTTCCCCGTCATCCCTCAGAAGCAACAGGTCTGGGTCCAGGGCCATCTCACAGAGATCCTCAGATGTCTCACCCCGGGGTTTCTCTTCTTCCTCTCCCCCAGAAGATGGGGGCTTCGGTAAGAGTCCATCCTCCTTCTACAGGAAACAAAGATGGGAGGAAGAAGAAATGCCAACCTCAGTTACAAACACTGCTAGCAGCTAATGTGTGAGCAGTTATGAGGCCCCACGCACTATGAGGGCTTTTTGTACCCATTTTCATTTCATGGGTTTGACATAATCACATTGGCTCCACAGCACACTGGAGGGTTTACATCCAGACACCTGGGATTTCCCTCACAAGTCCATCACAGTTCTTTAAGAAATGATGCTTGTCAGTACCTTAGGCAAAAAAGTGGACTCACATGATTTATAAAGTGTTAAGAAAATGCATTTTTCTAGTTAACCATCAGGTTATCAATACCTCTAACCACCCACCCCACCCCCCAAACTGAGACATTTGTGCTGCCACAGCTTGTTAATCAGGCTTCCCTTCACCCTTCTAGGCCAAATTTCCTCCACTTACTTAGGTTTACCACTTGCCACCTATTGATCCTGTGCAAGCCATCTAACGTCTCAGTGCCTTAGGACCTACCTGACAGGGTAAGAAGTCACTAAGATATGTAAATACAGTGCTTAGAACAGTGCCTTGTAGAAAGTATGTACTTAAATTATGTTAAGCATTATTATTTTAGTCACACTCAGTCTGGCAGTGATAAAGGTGCTCACCAACGGGGTGTCGGCCTCAGCAGCTGCTCTCTCATTCTGTACCTCATCCTTGGACTCCTTGACCCCCTCCTCTTTGACCACTTCTTCCTCTTTGACTGCTTCCTCCTTGGCTGCCTCCTCCTTCTCGGGCTCTGGTGGAGTCACTACCTTTTCAGGAAGGCTCAGCAGCATCTTATAAACCCTATAACCAAAATCCCTCTGCAGCATCTCCAGAAAAAGTTCAGCCAACACCATCACCTGGTAGAAGAGGCAGTGGGGTGGGCGGGAGGTATGAGCATCAGGTGAAAAAGGACAATTTCCACCTTCCCATACCTCTACTCCACAACCTCAAGATCCTAAACTTACCTCAAAAGAGATCCTCTCTTTTGGCCTCCGATCCTCCACAATACTATGGAGAGAAAGGTTTATACAGCCAGGACGTGCGATGACAGCAGGTTCCAGAGGAGGTGGAGGGGCCTCTGGGAGATCAGTGTCCATTTCCTGCTGTGCAGTAACTTCTGGATTCTCTGCATTCTGTTTGGAGGTGTCTGCTGCTGGCTCTGGTGCATCGATTGCCTGCTCAGAAGAGTCTGTTTCCTACAGTGAAAGCAGAGTTATGAGCATCTGGACCCAGGGGTCAGGCACCAACTTTTCTTCCCTAGGTGCCTCCAGAAAACTCAAGTCTTACCAC